ATGGTCTTTGATTAAATTTAAAAATAGACTGCCGTTAATTACTGGAATATTAATATTCAAAGCTTGTTGATCAAGCTATTGATTGAAATCAAACCGATTATTGAATATTGATCATTGAATTGGTGAATAATCACTCTTGATAATGCTAGATATTTCATATTGCATGCAAATCAACCTGATTCAATCTACAAAGGTTGGTAGTTGCACCACTTCGTGGCGAAACTACCATTCCACGATGAATCAACAAAGAATCACTTCCATTCAACTCAATTTGACCGTTATAATCAATAAATCAATGAAATGTTCCTTTATTAGCAATACCTGTTCAATCTAATGAGTATATTCACGTCCCAAACATTTGACTTCTCAAAGTCCATAATACAAAAGTTAGTTCTGACCTGACCTTTATAAATCTATCAATATAAGAAATGAAACCATCAAATTTACATCATTAATAGATTATAAGAAATATAATCAATGATATAAATCTTCATTAAGTAATCTCTTAAATAACCCAAATAAATCAACTCTGAATCCTAACCAAACCCCCCAGTTTCCAGATCACAAAAGTCAAGATACTATATATGGTCTTTGATTAAATTTAAAAATAGACTGCCGTTAATTACTGGAATATTAATTCAAAGCTTGTTGATCAAGGTATTGATTCAAATCAAACCGATTATTGAATATTGATCATTGAATTGGTGAATAATCACTATCTTGATAATGTTACTTATTCATATTGCATGCAAATCAACCTGATTCAATCTACAAAGGTTGGTAGTTGCGAAACTACCCATCCACGATCAATCAACATTAGATTCACTGACCGGACCTTTAAATATCTATCAATATAAGAAATGAAACCATCAAATTTACATCATTTATAGATGATAAGAATTATAATCAATGATATCAATCTTCACTAAGTAATCTGTTATAGGCGAAAAAAAACTGCCTGACAAACCATGCAAAAAAAACTGTTCGCATAATTAAGCTATGCGAAAAATATCTTTGGACATACCGATCCTTAGTTATAATCAATCAACAAGAACTTGGAAAAATAGTTCAAAAATATTGACAACAAGTAAGTCCATCACGACTCTGTTGATTCTTGGAGTAGTTTCACATCTATTAATTTTAAGAATTTCACCACATCATCTCATCATCATTTAAATAGTAGTATTAATAGTAATTTTTGGAATTTAATTGTTCATCATGATTTGGAAATAATTTTATTATTTGGAAAAATTCAAGTTGGTACATCATCATCGGAACAACTACCAACCATCATCATTGTTATTTACCATCATTATAATAGTAATATTTGTGGAAATAAATCTGATAATAATAATATTTTAGTGAAATTCAATATTTTCACTAAAATCATCATCACCGCCAGATTTATATGATAATTTGGAAAACTTTCAATCTAGTATTGTTCAGCATGGTCGATTCCATCAGGTAAAATTACTTCCGAATATTTTCCTATTGGTTATCATGATGATAGGTTCATGTATATTTTCAACATGTACATATACCATATCTCAACATGTACTTCACCAACTTGAAAAATGTCTTTCATCACTACTATTCAAATAGATAATAAACAATATATTTATTATCAGATTTTTATCATTTTGTGTTTTTGCCAATTTCGGGTTATTCATGGTCACCAATCATGATCCATGCCAAAAGTACACAGCCAATCATCTTGAAACATTAATAAACTTTTATTAGTATTATTGTAGGTGTACTATATAAATTATTTCGTCTTGTTTCGTTGAAATCATGAAGATTTGGATTTTTCTGTTTTTCATTAAATTTCACATCACCTACACCATATTTGTTGATGTAAACTAGACTAGTTACATGTACATAATCAATGGTTGATTCTCTAATCATGTTTTAGTGTTGTTTTGTGTATTTAGGATTTTGAAATCTTGCGAATTATCCTGAGGTTATTCTTCATATAAATATGATTCCTCACTTCATGATATGAGGAGGGATTGATATCATGATTATTTGGAAGTGTTGTACAAATTTTGGACACTATCTTAATTGAAATCAGGTAGAAAGAGTCCAATCTTTAACACCATATAAAATATGACTTGTGGCGATGGTTTTGACCTTGTTGTTCATACCTCCAACATTGGAAAAGTAGAATGATAAACACCTTTTCTCATCATATTCAATATTTATGGAAGTTATGACCATAAGGATAAATTTCGCATGACCCAAGCATGCAGATTTTATTCGCCTAGATAAATTTCGCCTAAATTTTAGGCGAAATAAATCGCCTAGAACATAATCTCTTAAATAACCCAAATAAATCAACTCTGAATCCTAACCAACCCCAAGCTCTCGCAGTATATGTTAGTAACTGCTACAAAAATTCATCATGGTACAATCGTCCCACTGACTCCTTCATCAAAAACAAAAAATACACTTCTGCTTACCAAAGGCAACAGCTGTCCCAACCACTTAGCCCGAACCAAACGTCCAAACACTGAACAGAACTAGATGGTTGAACAGCTAGTCTCTTATATCATAACGAAGTAGATGTTGAAAAAGTTGGTTATCTTTGAAATTCAATTGATCTTAATGATGTTTAAGGAAATAAGGTTAATTGTTCGATTTAAGGTGAAAGAAATGAAATAAAAAGAAAAAACAAGAATTTTATTATTTTAATATCATTGTGTAATGTTCACAATGAGTTTGATAATTTTTGAATCACTCTTGAAGGAGTGAATCATAAATAAAAGGTGTAAGTTTATTAATGTCTCTTGTATCAATAACGACCTGAGAGACCACACTTTTTCGGCATTTAAGGACTCTGTGCAACATTTGAATGATTTGGGTTAAGATTGAGTGCCGTTGAGTGAGTGTGCCTAAAGTAGGCGGATTGGAATTTTGAGTTTTTGATAAAAGGTTGTCGGGAGGGACGGTTGTACCACATAGTGTTTTTGTAACAATTTTCTAAATAAATGGCGAATGCCTTGTAAATTTCTAGAGCTACAGCCTTAGGAAGTCTTTTGTTCTTTGACCATAAGAGCCAGTCGCTGCGAGAGCAGCTTCCGTTAAAATCAATAATAAGGCAGTTCCTCACTTTGTCTGAAGGGAGACGAATCGGATCGAGGTTAAATTTGGAGGAAATATTGTCCCAAGTAGCATACAGTTCCTGTTTTTCATGGTTGCTTTTAGAGCACGATGAGAAAACGTGTGTCCAGTCTTCGGCAGTTTGACATGAATCACAGGTTGTATTGTTATCTAGAATAATAGCGTGGTGAAGGTTTAGGAAAAGGAGTCTTTGTTGATAGTAGGAGAGATGGAAATTTCTCCAAAAGGAAACAGTTGAAAGGTGCCAATTAAGATTTGAATCTAACTGGCCCAACTCTGAGATGGTTTTTTTGGATCTTTTGAGTTCAAGAATATCGTTTCGTAAGTTGGTGATGGGTTTGTGTGACGATCTGTCACAAAGAACCCATCCACTCTCTGTTGGATTGAAGTATGCATTGAGTTTGTTGATATTTAAGGCTGCATTTGTCCAGAGAGAGTCTGTAGATTTGCCTCGGAGAGCTTTTTGAATCGAGGCCCTTGCAATGTTGCGGGTGATTGTGGATGAGGAGTTCACAAATCTACAGACCGATGCTGTGCATTCAATGTCTAACACATCTACAGGAGACGTGACTAGAAATCTCTCTCCAAGCCAAAACACAAAATAATGAAAAACTGATATTAAATATGGTCTAACACATCTACAGGAGACGTGGCTAGAAATCTCTCTCCAAGCCAAAACACAAAATAATGAAAAACTGATATTAAATATGGTGTTTATTAGTGATTTAAACAATAGTACTAGAAGAAAAGTATCCAAGTTGGTGAAGTACATGTTGAGTTATGGTCCATGTACTTTTTTGAAAATTCACATGTACCTATCCCTATCAAAACTTGATGAAAATCCACCGTTCAAATTTACTATGCTACTATTGACCATTTCCAACAATCCTACATTAATAGTTTTCCAATCTTTCCAATGGATTCAACAGTGATGATGATTTTAGTAAAATGTTGAGTTTCACCAAAATAAAGATATTTCCAAGACATAGAAATCACCCATACTATTCTACTATATTAAATATATCTATGATGACGGTTGGTGAGTGTTCCGATGATGGTTTACCAACTTGAAAAATTATAATCCAAAAATTGATTTACTATTTTATGATGAAAGTCCAATAATAAAAATTACTACTATTACTACTATTTAGATGATGTTGAGATGATGATGTGAAAGTTTGGCAGCTTACGGATGTGAAACCACTCGAAGAATCATCAAAGTACATCACGTACTAGATGTTGAAATATTTTTTCACATATTCTTAACTGAACAAACAAACCTTGCTTCAAAAAATCAACCAAACTCTCGTAATACCTTGCTTGGTTTTCGTTCCAACAATTCAAGCCAAACAACACAAGAGAATCTATTTAATATAATTGGAAAATTCAATTGTATAAATGTATCATTCAATTTATCGGTGTTACTAAGGTTGTGCATTTTCCATTTTGGTTTACCGTCATCAGTATTAAGCGGATGCTCTTCTCCCGTCTTTAGTAAGAAACTGAGTGTTCTCCGTCTCATCCGTCCCCCGTTTCACCGTCACTTAGTACCATCTCTACAGGATTTCTTGTAGCTCCTTTTTCAACAGAAAAAAAGAATTATTTAATAAGTTGTGCTCATTGTTGTAAGAATCATTCCTCATCTGAAACAATAATGACATTGAAAAAAGTATATGGAAGCTTTAATCAAACTAAGGATATCGAAAAAACACAACAGTATTGTTTTGAATGTCAAATTGAAGCAGTGGGAGATTATGAAAAGATATCTGAAAGCGGGATTGCAGAAGACTGGGCCATCCTCTCATTTGAAAACTATATGGAGTATGGTTCTCCAAACTATTTAATACCATCCCCATCTCAGGTATAAAG